TAATACCAATTACCATTTTTTTTTACAGATTCAGTTCGAAACTTTTTTCAGACAATTTTTTTCAAACAATTTTTATGATTGTAGATTTTTCTAATAACAAAATTGACAAAGTTAGAGTAGGTAAGTTGAAATTTACGAATAATCTAATAACAGTATTTTTTTTCAATATTTCTGATTATTTACTCTAATTTTTCTCATTCATATACTAATTAGTTGTAAGATAAGATAAAAATTATATAGGGCTATGAAAATTATAATAACCAGCACATTAAAAATTTATTAATTAAGATATTGTTAGATTGCGTCTTCTCTGTGTACCTACAAATTATAGTAATTTAATAATATCGGGGATATATCATTATATCAAGTATAAAATTGACACAATAGTTTAAAATGTTGTTAAAAATAGATTTTTGTAAATTTCAAATTACACTATCTTTGTACATTTTGTAATAAGAAAAAAATTAATCAAACATTTTTAAGATAAAGTCTAAAGGTTTTCAAAAAAAATTAAAATTATGTTCTGGGTGTGCTTATAGTTAAAATTTTGTATTTTTTTCAAAATGTATATTTAGAAATTCCATTTCAATACAAGTTCATCAAGCTGAAATATTAAGTGGTTCTACCTTGGCGAAATATATTATGATTTGTAATAGTATAATTTGTATAAGAAATAATATTATTTAGACTCACGAATAAAATACGCTCGCGAACTGCTTCTAAATCTGACACAATTTGGCCAAGGCATCAAATGGGTAAAATCGGACAATGACTGCAACACGTGCATAATAATTCCAAATTTAGAATTTGTGGTAAAACATGTGAATGAACTTGGTCGTCTGCATAAAATTATCAAAGACTACGTTAAAGCCGACAACGAACACACCGGTCGTGTAGCCAAAGCTTTAAAATTTAGTTTACAAGAGAAAATGAATTCATATTACGTTTATGTTAACAAGTGGGTAGGTAATATTTTTATTTTTGAATGGTCAAAAATCCGGTCTTTAGAAATAATTCATAATAAGTTTATTTTATTATATTTTAGTTAAGTGCCAACTTTGAAGTATTAGAACATTCTACGGATTGCTTACGTATATGTATCCCTTTGGACCACGAAGTTCTGATAAGGTTCCGGTGTCTAGCGAAAATTGTAAAGAATGCCAAAGGCAAGAGTGGTTGCAATTTAATATCGTCGGTGATCCACTCCAGTATTCGTGAAATCGAGAGTAAAATGTTGAATGAGGTAATAGTATTTTCTAGGAATTGTATTCATTAAATGATACGTTTTCGTTTTAGATCACCAAACCCATACACGCAATGATACTCCGTTGGATGACTGGCGGTGAAATAGAAGACGAACATGGTGACTTTTTTATAGTAGAAAACTTGTCTGAAAGCTATTGGAATAACAGCCACGCATTAAGGTTTAATTTTATTAAAATGTCATGACAATTATTAAAAAATCTGCTTTTACAATTTATATTAATTTTGATATAGTTCAACCAACACTTTAGATTTTCTGAACGAATATCAGTTAAATTGTATTTATCAAACTGGAAAAAATATGAATTTACTGTTAAAAATGCTTAGTCCAAAGATGAATGCAAAAATTGAAAAACTTAGAGAAAATATCAAAATCCTAGCTACCGATGAAGGTAATCCGAATTGATTTAAATAGCTAAAACGTTAGGCAAAATAAATATTTAGGTATGCGTTTTTAGATGGACTCGTTATTATGTTGGCTAACAAATGTAGTAGAACATCAACAATGCTATCTGACATGTGTGATCAGTCGTCTGCCTTATTGATGGAAGTGTTAATAGGTGATTACAATTTGTTTCAACAATTCGAAGGACTCCGAAATTACATGTTGCTTGGTCGTGGAGACTTTTACACTTATGTAATACACAAGATCGAGTAAGATTTTGGTCTAAATTACTATTACAACTGCACATAATACAATATTATCCACATTTTCTATTTTAGGCCGTATTTTGGAAATAATAAGTTATACAATTATCAATTGAATGATATTATAAAAAATGCATATGCTTTGACATCCGCTGGTAATGACAACGAGGAGCTGTTTAGTAAGCTGAAATACCGAATTGATACGTCCGGAAAGGTGAACTGGAATAGTATCAAGTTCGAGTACAAGACTGATGAACCTTTAAATCAAGTAAATCTCATCATAACCATGGTATAATTACACAGGAGACACTGTTTGAAAACTAATTAGTGTGGTTGACACTTCAGATATTAGGTTCTTGCTCTAACCAGTATGTGAGCGTTTTTCAATTCCTATGGCTACTGAAAAATGTAGATTGGACTACACACAAAATGTGGCAGGAACTTAACTATTTCGTAAAGAAATCATACAACAAGATTGGTAAGTTAATTTTAAATTTTCTAAGCATAGATAACAAAGCATTCCTATATTAAATGATTCTCAAAATGCTTGTAATTTTTATACCTATTAAAGCTGTAACAATTTTAGATTAGCACATATTTTTAGTTATAATCAAACGCGTATAACAATTGAACAGCAAATTATAATTTACAATACATTATACATTCACTATTAATAGTATAATATGTTACATTGTTTTCAAACAAAACTATTAAAACATTTTCATCTAGTTTAATAATGCAAATATTCACATAGTAAGTTATGAAACGCATTTCGTGTGATATATAAATCATAACAGCTCTCGAAATGATAACGGCCACATCAGGGGCGGATCTAGGGGAGGGTTCAGGAGGTCAGCTGACCCACAGTTAATATTTTCTGATCAAATTGGCCTCTTTTCAGATCTTGAGTAGTTGGACACTTAAATAAACACACATATAGTATAAATGAATTTTAGATTCTGAGTGGAACGATGAATGTATTGATTTTACAATGTGTGTTTTTTTTTTTTAATTTTTTTGATTTATTTTTGTGTGTGTACACGATAGGTAGTCGAAATAATGCTTCGATTTTCAACTTCAGTATCTTGTTCGATTGGAAAGTGAATCTAGTTGGTGCATTCGGGAGGTAAAATTTTAAAATTCACAATAGTTTTCACAAGCACCGGGATTCAACACATAAAAATTAAGGAATAACGGAAATTTTTACTCAAAATCTGTTTTCCAAAAAATCGATTTTGGTTTTTGGTGTAACTCTAAAACAAATGAACGTAAATACATTAAATTTTCACTGGTTGCTTATATTTGCATTTTCTATACACGATAAAATTTTTAAAATATTATGATTTGTTTTGAACTGTTTAGGGACATTTTCATTTTCCATTTTTTTTTTAGTTTTTATTCTAAAAATATCAATAAAATTTTATTTGTTAGCTTAGAAAGCTTGAAAATATATTAAAATAGGCCCCTAGTATATTGTTTAAAGGCAGATGAAAAATATTAAAAATAGTTAGTCACAGTTTTCTTTTATAAGCATTTAAAGTTCAAAAATTGACAAAATATGGAAAAATCACGAAATATAGAAAATTATTTTGAGTTAAGAATTCGTAAAAGTTTTTCTTTTTAAATCTCAGATTTTAAAATGTAATACAAGATTACTCATAAGTTTGTCTACCTTTATCAATAAAAAAATCTCTACCGGAAAGTTAAATTAAATTTTTATGAGCGTTTGAAATTCAAATTTTTACAACATTGGATTCACTCGATTTTTCATGTAGCGATTTCCTTATTTTGTTGTAATTCAAAAACAAATAACTGTAGATAAATGAAAATTTCACTGAATGTTCATATTAGAATTTCTTATACAATGTACAATTTTGAAAATAATTGTTTTTCTTATACAATGATATTATATATAATTATAAATTTAATACCATCCATTACAGCGACCCCCACTTGTATGTTGTAACCTAATGTACAGCAGGTTAGGTATACAGCAAAAATATTTTGACTCTTTTTGAGCTGTTTACGGACATTTTCAGTTTTCAATTTTTTTAGTTTTTTTTTCTATAAATATCAATAAAGTTTTATCTGTTATGCCAAAAAGTGTAAAAATTTAATATAAGGCTCCTGATATATTGTTACAATATCAGTTGAAAAATATTAAAAATACATAGGCTGCACAATTTTTTTTATAAGCATTTAAAGAACGAATTTTGACAAAATTTATCAAATTTAAAATTGAATAATTATTTTGTAGTTAAAAATGTATAAAATGTTCAACTTTTATATCTAAGGATTGAAAATTTAAAACATGATTTCACCATTGTAGGTAATTCTGTTACCAAAAAATCTAAAAAATACATAAGCACAGTTTATTTTTATAGTCATTTTAAGTTCAACTTTGGATAAAATTACATAAAAAAACCTAGAATAACTATTTTAATTATTTTTTTGTGATTGTGTAATATTATTCGTGGGTACTTGAAACTTCTAAAGTACACTATTATATACCTATGGAGTATGGACTATGATAGTATCAGGGTTTGTTGTTGACGTATAACGCATTATAAGTACCTAATGGATATTGGGATATGATTAATTTGGAATTTATTATAGGTAAATTTTTTTTAATACGATAGAAAATAATATGCCTTATACCTAGACTGACATATCGTCTCCGCTCAGAATCGTTTTTCTTATACAATGATATTATATCATTGAATTCAAATTTAATACTATCCATTATACAGTGACCCACTTGTAACCTACTGTACAGCGGAGCACCTTTTTTTGTTTTATATACCTAGTACACAAGTATAGATTTCTTATTTGGTTTTAATAAGTGGCCCCTTGAAATTTCCTGACCCACAGTTTCCTAACTCTGGATCCGCCCCTGGGCCACATGTATAATTATACTCATGTCATATCTTTCGCCTGATATATAAAAAATAAATTTTATTTTCACACCTTAACGAGTCTACCAAGTTTTGCACTTGCTTAGTTTTGGTTTTAATTTTTAACACCTATGCGTATTTTGACATATAGAACTGAAACCGGTCTTGAGAAACATAAACGCATTACTGTCAAGCATGTTGAGCTGCGTAAACGAAATTCAAAACTTCATGTTTGAAATGATCAACGATGAATGGGAACAGTTCAAAAGTGAAACCCATGGAGCTACTTCCGTCAAAACGGTTACGGATGCTCATATGTCGTTTTTGGAATCAATTACGAAATGTGTGAATGACGGATCTGTGGTAAGTAATACCATAATAGTCTAACTAAAATCTCTTGAAAACCTTTGGTTATAACAAGAACACATTCATTTTTCTTATATTTTTACTCGTTGGGTACATTTTTCTGTTATAAGTTATAACTAAACTATTACCCATCAAAGACATAATTTCGTACTCGAGGGTACTGATCTAGTACTTGTTATAATAATATTATACAAGTCTATAGTAATAGACAATTCAAATAAATTATATATGCTTATACAAGTACATTATAATATATATTTTATTAATATAGGTAACTATTATATTAGTGATTGTTTCTGTCTTCATTACGTCATGAAGCCTTGTTTTTTTTAACTTCTGTAGTACCCTCCAGTGGCGTACAATACACATAGTGAATAGTAATAGGGTACTATGATTCTAACTAGGAACCTAACATACTTGTGATAAACAAAAGAAAGATATAACAAAATAAATTGTAATCATAGGTACATTTAAAACTAATTTTACAATTATTTTATTGAAAACTACCAATAATACTGATTATTGTTTGTTAGATCTTAATATCTTATATATTTAGACCATAGGCGTGTGCAGACTTTTTCGCAGGGTATGCCGGTATATTTAAACATACCTAGCTCAATACAAAAAATAAAAACTCCACAAAAACTCTTAATAGGTAAACTTGCCATATAAAGCGAATGGAGATTAACATGCATTTATTTAGCTTATTTATTGGTTTTAGATATTTTAATTTGAAAAGCTTGTACTGTGATTTCATTCCAATGCAGTAACAGTAGTATAAAAACCTACAGACATTTGATTATATTATAATATTATATAATAATGACAAAAAATTATAATCTAATTAATCGAAATTCTTTTATTTTTGATAGTTGTAGGTAGTATGAAAATAAGCAATACCGCAGGGGCCTGAATGTTCTGGCGACAAAACCCGCAATTCTCACGAAAATGGTTGATTTTGATTTCAACTATATTATTATACTATATAGTTAGCAATCTATATTTTATTTATAGGTACCTGTGGTGAATGGTGATTATGAAAATATAAATTAATATTTGATTTCGTCTCAACTCCCAATATTTTATAATAAAAAAATAATCAAAATAATTTAAATTCTTGAACCAAGATACTATGAACTAGGTATCTTAGTTCATGATTCTAATTTATAATCAAAACATTTACATCTAATAACTATTAACTACATGGTTATGATAACTCTGCAGGGGATGCCATGGCATACCCAGCATCCCCCCGCGCACGCCTATGATTTAGACAGGTACAGGATAAATATTTTATCGTAAGCCTTCAGACAATATCAAAAACGGATTAACCCTAAAGGCTAAAATTACCTACTCAACCGCTCATTGGTTCATAAGTAGCTCTTTGGAATATGGTTGTATGGGATCCTCGTACAGTTCCACCCTCCAAATCGAACGTGTTCATCATCGCCTTTTTAAATTTTCGGGATATTTACTATGGATGTATCTCATGCACAGTATGGATGTAATCCTGCAGTTGTTACAAGACTCGGCTTATAGAATCATTGGCTGAACGCAGACCGCAGGCGGGTAACCATGATTTTTGTAGAGGTGTGTTTTAATTTTACATTTAAATGTAACATGTGGGAGACTATACGCAGTACACACTGTTGTAGTCATATCAGTCTTCATATTAATAATATCAAAATATATGAAATACAACAATAGATGTATTGATGTATTGATATCTATAAATGTAGAAATAATTCTTTAAATGTAAAATAGAAATACCTATAATCAGTATCTTGTTTTTTGAATCAGTCCATATAAAGTTTAAGTTTTTTTATTAGAAATGCAAATTAAGGGTTTTATTTATTTTTTACCTAACTTTCAACGTGTAAATTTATCCATTAAAACTTAAAAAGATACAATTTGATTTGTGCTTTTGTTTACGAATTAAGTTTGCAATGTAAACACTTTGACAACTTTTGAACTCTGATCAATCATTATTTCAACAAACTTCAGATAAGAAGTTTAAATAACCATAATATAATAAATTAAAATATATACATGTCTGTGAACATAATATTGCATCATTATTTTTAGACAATAAAGTGGAACTGCAGTTTTTAAGAGATGTTTGATGACAATGTTCGATTTTTTTTAATCGGAAATATTTATGAAATCAAAACCCGTACGAAATACATTTATATACTTACTTTGGCTTCGAAACAAAATATTGATCTATACAGACTATAAACTTAGTCCTTGGAAGTGTCTTTCAAATTACAATAATTGTGTATGAATGAATAGTCCACGAACTTTGTAGGTAGGTGCAGTGACGTGGATAGGAAGGATGGGGGAATGACGGGAATGAGGGGTCTACAGAAGGCACGCCCCCCTGAAATCTTTTTTGTTTTTTGTGGTTTGTATGTTCTTAGTGTAGTGTAAAGATATGCCTTATAATTTATATGATTAATACGATTAATTTGTTTCATCATAATCTCCTTTGTTTTTAGCTATTCTATTTGTGTAAGGTCAACTACCCATAGATTAGTTGATATTAGGTATATTATGTGTTTGATAACATTTATAAGTGATGGTCATCAGGTCATGTCAGTAATATAGGTACTATATATTTTGAATAAAAAATGAATTGTTATGTTTACAACACGTAATGTACTTATATTAATTAATGCATTAATCCAAGTGGCTTACAATAATGCCAATACATTGTTAGGTATGTTAAATATGTACCGTAATTTTATTGCTAGCATAATAATATTGTACACTCATGAGAAAAAAGTGGTGATATTGTAATGACTAACAAGTAAGTATTTTTAGTAGGCAAAAAATAAGTTCCCCCCCCCCAGAAAAAAAATTCTGGTTACTGCACTGGATAGATGTAAAATATTATTTTTTCACAGTCATTAGACGCTTATGTTGAATCGTTGAAAATACACGTCGAAAGATTTTCTAATGTTTTAAGTTGTCTCGTTGATACGACGGAATCGTCGTCGTCCGAAGACCCGAGTACCCGAAAGTACAGCAAACTTTGTGAAGAAAACAACATGATAAATGCATTTATGGACAATGTCGGAGATATAAAAAAACAATACGAGGTGACAAAATAAAATATTCATAAAATCATTTGTAATATTCATCAGCAAAAGTAAACGTCATTCGATTAGAATAATGTATACGGAGTTAATAAATTATCATCAGCCATATTGTACTTACCAACTGTGAATGTAAATAAAATATGTTTAGGGTAGAGTGAAAACCCAAACTGACATCACTGGGACACCTGGGTATTGCATTTTTTAAATGCATAAAATATTTACCTCGAATTTCTATTAATTATTCCATATTGAATTAGTCGAAAACAATTAAAATATTGATAATCTGAACACCTATCAAGACTATAATATAATGAAGTAGGTAGAAACCTACCTATCCCCTGACATGACGAGCGTCAAAAATGTACAATTTTTTATATTTCGTATTTTCATTTTGGTTATTTATATTTTATAATATTTATCATTATTACTAGTTAGGTATAAAAACATAAATGTTATATAGAGATATTGAAAATCCGTTAAAATAGTTAATATAGTTAAAATAATTCAAAAACTTTACAAAACTGATATACCTTTGTCCCTTATGATTTCCTCGCTTTTTAATTTTTAAAGTTTTTATGAGAATATTTAGTGTCTCGACAAATAATGTAACAATAATATCATAATATGATCGTTTTAATTATTTCATGTTTTCGATTTATCTATTTAATATTATAATGTGTATAATTTACGTCTTGCGATACATATTATACGTACATGCGTAATATTAAAATAAAATATTACACATATATACAATTTTATTGTGCATTGTAGATTTACATATCTTTCCAAATAAGATAGATTTTCTTATTTTAAAATGCATTTATAAACCATTATAGTTTCTGAAAAAAAAATCTTTTTATAAACAAATAATACTACCTATGGTAAAAAAAATCAATAAAAATTAAAAATTAATTGGTAATTTTAAAAGTGAATTTGCGTACCTACTACCTTTTCAGTTAGAATTTGATTAGACATCGATAAAACAATTTGCTTATAATATTATCTAAAGTTAATATTGTATATTGATTAGAGAGCAGTTGAAACTGGGACATTGCCACAGCTGTAATAATTTATTTTACTTTTCGATTTAATACTTTTATTGCTACTTACTTCTTTATAACACACTTTTGTGAAGTATATATAATATATATAAATATATATCTTTCCGAGAACTAAAAATAAATACTAAAACCTTTGTAAAAGAATGAGATTTAAAGACTCTCTGTGACGTTTCAAACAAAAGTATTTGCGAAGAAATTTCCAAAAGGATTTAAAGTTGGCTATTTATTTTTCAGACGGAACTCGGCGACTTTTTGATAAAACTTCAAAATGGCGAGACACGAGGTCTAGGAGCACTAGCATTGAGGATCGACTTTAACGGCTATTACTCAACCAACGGTATAAAAATAAGACACACTATAACATATTAAATTTGCCTCTTAGGTGCGTCCTACATAAAAAAAAATTATCAAAGAGGTATTATACAACAATTATTTTTGTTTTGCATTTTCAGTGAGTTGCATATATTGGGCCCGACCGTGTGTAGTTATTACGGATGAGTGATCGCGAGCAGTAAGTATTTGTGACAATATAATATATTAAATTATAATATTGATGTTCAAGTTTTTTTTTCTAAAAATACACCTTTAACTTATGCGATTTATGAATTATTGTTTTTTTTCACCATATTTCCATAATATGGAAAACCGATATTTGGTACCACACCGACGGTGGAAAACGATTCTGCCCGTTTTACCTTTTTACCTAACAAAACGCGACATGATTGAGCTCTGTAAAATATAGTTCTTGTGGAGTTCAGTCGAAGTGGTGAACTCAAAGTTGAAGCTAAGAATTCGAGTTAACTAAGTTTTTTATAAACGCAGGTATTTTCCCAATATCTGTATGTAGGTAAATTGTAAGACATAATTACATAAAGACGTAGGATTTTTATGTACAACTAAATGTAATTTGTACTTTTCGTAATTTATTGAGTCATTTTATATAATATATTTGAACGATTATTATTTATTATTTATTATTATTTAAAAAAAAAATATTAATAGTTTTAAGTAGTATATACTAATGTCAAACGAATCTTTAAGACTAACAACAATTTCATTTTGTTGTCCGTCCTAAGCCTGTAAAATTGTTAAAGTGATGAAAAAAAATTTCAAATGTTTATATAATGCCATGTAATATGTATAGTAATATAGTCGAGCTTGGTTAACTCGAACTTAAGTATACCACTCCGGTCTCCGACTGTATTTTTAAAGTGTATTAAACAATTTTTAGAAGGACAAATTTCCCGAAGAGCAATGGTGTTGAGTTTTTTTTAGGTAAAAAGGTAAAACTGTCGCAATAAACCCCTAACCTACCTGTCCTATCCGGTGTTTCCGAATTGCGGACAAAGTGACAAAAACCATGTGAGTTGCGGACGAAATCTAAAAAGGTAACATACGAATTGCGGACACAAATATAAGATACTAATTGCGGATAATGTTCCAATATTCACGTGGTGAAATCAGTAGAATATCATATATACAGGCTGTTTTAAAAACTATGACGATAATTAATAATGACGATAATCCATAAATATTTTATAAACAATTTTTTCCACAAAATTAAAACAATCTATAATTCAACAACATTTTAAAAATAACGATTGCTCTTTTGCAAGACACAAATATTTTTAACCCCACCTACTAATTTTTTTTTAGCTATTGTCATAAGTTCTGAAAAAGTGGTGAAGGGAAATATTTGTGTCCACAACTAACGTAGTTTTTATTAAAAAAAGCTCTGTACGCAATTAGTATTATGACAAAGAAGCTCGTGTCCGCAATTGTTATATTATAATTCCTAACCTGAATAATTCGTCCGCAACTAGTATGTGTCCGTCCTATCCATTTGAACAAATTCGTTGTAATCCTACGGCGTCGTCCGTAGTCCTCGCCTCCACAATTAATATAAGTAGGTATAAGGTACCATAGTTATCTATCATAATTTCAGTACCTATCATACACCTATTCTGAACGATACTTAATGGCACCTCAATAATTAATAATTATTACCACGAAATAAATAGTTCACAAAACACAAAATAGGTTTTTGACTATCGGATACATTTACTGAAATAGGTACCGACAAGGGGTCACTTCCAAGTTTGTACAACCTGAAACGCTCAGTATAAAAAAAAGGTGGGTAAGTGGATGTCGCTCTGCTGTACAGTAGGTTACAAGTGGGTCACTGTATAATGGATGCTATTAAATTTGAATTCAATGATTCAATATCATTGTATAAGAAAAACGATTCTGAGCGAAGACGGTATATCAGTCTAGGTTTAAGACAAATTATATACATATCTATGGTATTAAAAAAAAAATTGACCTAAAATAAATTCCAAATTAATCATATCACAATATCCATTAGGTACTTATAACACGTTATACACCAACAACAAACCCTGATACTATCATATATATATAATAGTACACTTTAGAAGTTTCAAGTAGGTACCCACGAATAATATAATATAATCACAACAAAATAACTAGGTTTTTAATATGTAATTTCGTCCAAATTTGAACATAAAATGACTATAAAAATAAACTGTGATTGTATATTTTTTAAGATTTTTCGGTAAGAGAATAATTAACTACTTACGTGGAATCTTGTTTTAAATTTTCAAACCTTAGCTATTAAAACTGAACATTTTATAATTTATTAATTACGATGATTAATAATTTTCGAGATTTTGAAAAATTCTGTCAAAATTCGATGTTTAAATGCTTATAAAAAAAAATTGTGCCTATGTATTTTTAATATTTTTCAACTGATATTGTAACAACTTATCAGGAGCCTTATATTAAATTTATACACTTTTTGGCCCAACAGAACTTTATTGATATTCATAGAAAAAAAAAACTAAAAAAATTGAAAAATGAAAATATCCGTAAACAGCTCAAAAAGAGTCAAAATATTTTCAAAATTGTATGGTGTATAGGAAATGCTAATATAAACATTCAGTGAAATTTTCATGTATCTATAGTTATTCGTTTATGAATAACAACAAAATAAGGAAATCGCTACATGAGAAATCGAGTGAACATCGAATGTTGTAAAAATTTGAATTTCAAACGCTCATAAAAATTTAATTTGACTGTCAGGTAGAGATTTTTTTATTGATGAAGGTAGACAAACTTATGAGTAATCTTGTATTACATTTTCAAATCTTAGATTTAAAAAGGAAAAATTTTACGAATTCTTAACTCAAAATAATTTGCTAATTTTCATGATTTTTCCATATTTTGTCAATTTTTGAACTTTAAATGCTTATAAAAAAAAAAACAGTGACTAAGGATTTTTAATATTTTTCATCTGCCTTTGAAACAATATACTAGGAGCCTTCTATTAAATTTTCAAGTTTTTTTAACCAACAAATAAAATTTTATTGATATTCTAGAAAAAAAACTAAAAAAAAATGAAAAATGAAAATGTCTCTAAACAGTTCAAAATAAATCAATAATATTTTGAAAATGTTATCGTGTATAGAAAATGCAAATATAAACAATCAGTGAAAATTTAATGTATCTACGGTCATTTGTTTTAAAGTTACACCAAAAACCAAATTCAATTTTCTGAAAAATCGATTTTGCGTAAAAATTCCCGTTTTTCCTTAAGGGGCCTGCACGCGACCTGTTTTTTTGCTCAAAAACATGCCTTACAGGAAAAACTCTCACGCCTCGTAGATTGGTCCGATTTCCGTAATTTTTTTTTTGTTAGATAGAGGAAGACTTCTTACAGGGCGCATTGGACTTGGATTTTCAAAATTATTTTTCTAAGTCTGATGTTACAAGTTTGAATTTAATCAATTTTTACAACTTTTTAGTTTTTGTATTATATTTTGTTTTTAGCGACGTAATCAAAAATCGAAGTCCAATGCGCCCTGTAAAAAATATTCCTCTATCTAACAAAAAAAAAATTACGGAAATCGGACCAATCTACGAGGTGTGAGAGTTTTTCCTGTAAACTGTGTTTTGACCGATATAATACACCCTATCAACCCCCCCTAAATAGGTATTGGGTAGTAGATTAGTGGAAAAGTCTTATAATTGAGGTGGCAACTAAAATATAAAATTTAATTTTCAAATTTTATAGAATTGCGGAAAATTTGAAAAATCGCGAGCAGGCCCCTTAATTTTTTTTTTGTTTTTCTTGGCGCTTTTGAAAAGTACTGGGAATTTTAAATTTTGACCTCCTCAATTCACAAACGATATTCACTTTCCAATCGAACAAGATACTGAAGTCGAAATCGAAGTATTATTTCGATTACTTATCGTGTACACAGACACACACAAAAAAAAAAAAATTTAAAAAATTTAAAAAAAACACACATCATTGTAAAATCAATACATTCATCGTTTCACTCAGAATCTAAAAAAACCACCCGATTGGACAATTATTACGATTATGGTTGAAGACAATGATAATAAAAAATATTAACATTAGGACACTCATTAAAATAGATAATATATTTGTGATCAATTAGTAGGAGGTACCTTAGAGTTAATGCAATAAAAAAATTGATTTCAAAGGTGAACCTACATAATATGATTCAGTACAATTTATAGGATTTCTTTTATGTATTCCCAACATTTTACTAAAAGTTTAGTTGGATTTTCCTTTCCAGAGTTCTTGTCATACGTTATGCTTTGATGTATTGAATCAGCATAATTAATAATTCATTAAAATTGTCAACATTTTTTTTACGTGTGTAATAATGTTTTGTAATTTTTAAACGTTTGATAACACAATAATCTTCTTACATCTCTTGCGACTTTGAAACTATTGACCTTACACCATTTCTTTTTTGTGTACTAATCATTGATAAATTATTGTTAATTAGATCCTTTTGAAATAACTTGTTTTTGTCATTCTAGTTACAATATCTTTGAAATTAATTGTATGTTATAGTCGACAAGTGAACTCAAAAAGCAGTTAGTAATTATATTTCAAAAATCTCATTGTAGTGTCCTTTATTCAGATTACCAAGCTCTTTTCATTATTACCTACTTATCAAATCGATCAGTTCATTGCTCATCTAAAAAAAAAATGGGGAGGGGGATTGATCCCCTAAAGTAGCTCTTACATGGTTTATTAAAATAGTATTGAACTCAACAGCTTACACAAAACCAACATAAATTCTGATTATGCTTAATTTCTAAAAGCTTAGATCAAGTAATAAGGTTAAGCTTACATAATATAGAGTGATTAATCTCCATGCCTTTCTTATTAATGTATAATGATTATTTTACAGTTGTTTTAATGCTCAGAAACAATATATTTTACAAAAGTGTTTAACATAATTGTAATAAAAACAATAAAATAACTCGATTTTGGTATTTTTATTATTTTTATTTTTCATTACATTATTAATATGAGATAATAAAGTTTGTTCAGACAACATCGTATTATAATTTAACAAAACAAAGTAGTCATACATTACACATCCCTAAAAACTACTCAATAACGATGCAGTCTTGTCTTCAAAATTTACAAATCAGCAAGTCTAGACTAACTTATACCATAATTATTATTACTATAGTACATATTAATTTTAAATTTTTGTAATGATTTTTCATACGTAAACACACATATTATACATGTAATACAACAATATAATATAGCATTACAAGTATGAGTAAATAATTAATTAAAAAAATCGTTACAACAAATTAAAAAAAGTAAAATATAATTATTGTTTGATTTTTAAACATTCTATTTTGCTATTGTTTTCAATTTCTGTACTTTATACAAATTTTACTGCATTTTATTAAGTTATTTAAAAACATTTTCAACATTTTGTAAGTAGCAAATCAACAAAAATATTTTTTGAAGTAACTGTGAATTTAAGATTCATTTTTTGTTGGAAGTGTAGTAGTAATAAATTATATAACAATAAAATTAATGTATGGTATCAATGTGAAATTAAAGGAAATTGGAACAAATGCAATAATTAAATGCTTCTAACGTCTGGTTAACCATGATGCAAATTTAAAAACCACATAGCTGCATACCAATGTGACAATTAACTTTTTCTCTCTGACATAAAAAGGCAGAGAAGCTGTATGTTCTAATTCAATAACTCGGCGTGACACACGACCCATTTGTTGGCGCAAGTGAGCTAATTCTTCGGATATTGTCATTGGTTCACTAATGCTTCCATTGAAGAAGCTCATACTTAAAAAAAAAAATTACACAAATAAATACATTTATTAAGAACATAATTAATTATTGTTTATGAACACTAAAAATCATGTTTCAAAGTATTTTATTATATTTTAGTTACTAATAAAACAAGTACTATTGTCTATTAATTAAATCATAACATAAGATTACATTTCACTGATATTTAGTATCATCATCTCTTCAACAAAATATTAAAATAACACAGCATTTTATTTTTTCCACACTACTCATTATACCCCTTGGAATAAAATTCCTTTACAAATTAAAGTAGATACCTCCTCTTAGATAAAATGCTTTACCAGGTTTTCAATATTTTAATTATAAATATGATACAAAGATTTTTAATTTGTATTAAATAAATTATTTATTTTTAATTGTTTAAAAATTAAAATTAAAATATTTAAAAAAATAAACTTATGTTATTATATTATGAATAAAGTTTTTTTTTTTAATAAGGTAATAAATACTTTTATATTAGTTACATGTTTATAGCTTTCATCTACAATAATTATGGAAGTATGTAGCAAAAATAATTGTACATAAGTTTAAATTAACAAAATTCAGTTTAGTGTCATCTTAGCAGTCTTGTAAAAGATACTTTTTAAAAGTATTCAAGTATAGATACAATTACTTATTTGAATACTCAGTAAAAAATTAAATAGGTAATTATATAAATTTTCAAATTTTTTATAAATACATTTTAACCTTATAAATCAATTCAACTGATTTTCATGGTGTACCTTAATTTTATAAAACATTTCACTTTGTATAAATTGGTGCAACTATAAAATATTATGTTTTCTTTGTTGAAGTATTTGAATTTTCTGTTGAGTATAATAATTATACTCAACAGAAAATTGTGAATTATTCACAGTGAAAAATTAATATATTATAATAAACTCTCAATTTTTATATTTTGATTTTACGTGATTAAAATTCAAACAGGAAATCTATAAACTAAAAAGAGTAAATATTTGATTTTAAATACTTATTTGAGTACTTAAAAAGTATTTGGATACTTTTATTCATGTACTTTTTAAGACTGCACCTAAGAGATGCATATTTTTTTATATTAACAGTAAAACATTTATTATACTTTGGGTTAATTTGCACTGCATTAACCACTGGTTCAGTATTGTTTGGAATCGATTCCTCGCTTTGTTCAATAGATGTTGATTTCTGTTCAAAGTCATCTAACACAGAAGGGAAATAATGTCTTGACATGGTGATTTTTTGTGGAGGAGTCTAAAATTTATATTTTTGGACAGTTAATATTATTACAGTACATGAATATAAAAAAATAAAAATAAATTTTACCTGAACACGAATAAATTCTTCAGCTGGTGGCTGAGGAATTATCAAATCATCAATGGCGAATTCTCTTGGTTTTGATGAAGATCCTTGATGCTGATTATTACCTGCATAATAACAGACCATTCATTTTTTTATTTCTTCAACAATGCAAAACTTATTTATTTATAATAATTTAAATTCATCATCAAGAGATCTATGTCTATATTATGTTAACTGTAAATGCTAGTAAATAAAAATATTGTTTCAAACTTAAAATACAAAAATTTAACAATATACTGAGTGCCTTACTTCAAAACTGTAAAAATACTAAGGAAGTTTTTATGTGCACTAAATTAAATGATATTATGTTCATTCTCAATTTGACATGGAAAAATTTTGAAATCTAAGGCTTTTATGACGGAGGTCATTAGCCTGTAAATGTTGGTATGGTATGTTTGGGACGGTTGGTTAACAACAAGCATATGTGTGGCAAGATTTTTCCACTACAAAGCGGGTAGTCACCCATCCGGGAACTAGTGAGCTAAGCCACAATATGAATTTTGTATCCCTACTTTAGAAAATATCCTTAACTCCTAAAATTGTAAATAATAGCACACCTACGTACAGTTATAGATTAACTATTGGCCTTAAAATCTTAAGAGGATGTTGCACCCACCGCATGTGTCTTTCCGTCTTACAAATGTACAACATAGCAAAAAACTGTTTTACACGTTAAAGAACGAGAACGCTATAGTCATAACTAAGAAACAAAATTCTCCCCAGGTAAAAAGGAGAACTTGGGCTGTGCAATATTGTTTTTTTTTTTTTTTTGATCACTTATACAAAAAAAGTTCTTATTGTTTAAAAATCCATTACTATTTGTGTTTTTCAAACTTTAATAACTTTTTTGGAAGTTCCAATATTGAAAAAATAAAAACGATATTGCACAGCTGAAGTTCTCCTTTAAATGTGGTGCAAATTTTGTTTCTTAGTTATGACTGTAGCCTTCTCTGTTCTTTCTAGTGCCAAATTGATTTTGCTACGCCGTATGTGTGCAAGACGGAGACAACATAAGGGGGTGCGATGTCCTCATAACTGATCAGAAATCTTTCTAGTTTTCTAGTATAATGCCACCGTATAGAAATAAAATGATTATTGAGTAGTCAAGATTTAAATTGAATGCTTAGTATGTTACAAACATGTGTTATGTCTTAATGTCATTCTACCTAATTTAGATTCTATTTGGAGGTTTTATATTTTGAATGCCTGCAAGTAATGCATATAATTTGTTTTGTCGTTTTTGTAACGCATAGGAAGGTTAGACTATAGACTGGTTTCATTTAAATGCACGAGACCTGTTTAAAGACAGCAGCGACGGCAAACAAGTACTTCAGGTAGTATTTGTAGGGTGGGTGGGTTAAATAATAGGGTATACTTCAGTATTTTGGCTATAATTGTATTTACCACAGGAATGTCATTAAATTGTTTATATAATTATTTAAGCCCGTTTCACAGTCATTTGATGAGATGGTAAATTTTAAAGGATGGAATCAAATTATTTACAATATAACTGTAGCCAAAGTTGTGTTTTTATTGGTTCTTGCATAGAAAATATAAAGACAATTTTTAAATTCAAGAATTACATTACCATATTTGTATTATTCAAAATTAAATTATAAATAGATTAAGAACTCCATAGGAACCACAACCACCTCATTTCACAACTGGCCTCCAAAATGCTTCCTGACAACCCCACAAGACGTCTCAAACGAAACTGGTGCAGAGATCTTCTTAATCAATAAAACACATTTATACATTATTACATATAAAAATTAATTTCACTGTAAAAGGGTGACTCGACTGCGAGCCTTCCTACACGTCATTCAAAGCCATTGTTTTTGTTTTTAGCTATACTTATCATATTTACTTATTGTATATAATGTACAGATTGTAAATTTTCAATAAACGCCATTTAAAAAAAAAAAAAAAAATAGATTAAGTCACCGATACTTTAAAATTTCATTTTAAAGAGTTACAAGAAATTAAAAATTAAGAAAACAAGTAGTTTTTCATAATTTCTTAAACTTAACAAAACATAGTTGGTGTTTGACTCTTTCATATCGAGATGTCTGAAACTATTAAGAGAAATGTCGCACTTGCAGAAAAATAAAAGTCTGTAAGCCTTTATATTATAATACCAGAGGTATAATACAAGTTATATACAAAATGTAAGACACAATCTTCTAAAAGAGAGAGTAAATATTATAGAAATTATAGTGCATTTTACCGATAAGAATAATTTTTTCTGGAACCCTCATATCAAAATTGTCACCAAATCGGCTGTTATCGTCAGAGTAGTAGTTTGTCGAACGATAATTAGAAACATCTCCATTCACCCGAATGCTCTTTGGCACTTGCATCTTATTGTTAATCTCTTCCGTGAAGTTTGTATCATAAACGTGGTGGTCGTCCATTGCAAATTCAATAATTCAATAAAATCTAAAAGAAAAAATATTTCAACATTAAAATCACTGGTATACATGAAATACCACAGGGCACAGATAGTTCACCTGGATGATCCGTCAGCTAAGTAATTATTTAGTTTAATAACGCGCTTTGGTACCAAAAAAAAATGTATAATTAAATCACGTAACTAGAAAAGTCCCAAGTAAAAATCTGGTAAATTGTAGACTGTAGTCCGTAGATACTAGATGGAAATGATGGAATTATATCGCTGTGAACAATAATAATGATCACTTGATAAGAAAAACATTCGTTAAAACGAAATGATAAAAAAAACATATTCTCTTACCAATGACTTCTCGACCGAGAGTACTGTAACCGGTCGTCAATTTTAGAACTTATAAAGCATAGTAAACCACAGTAAAGAGTAAAATTACTAAAATTTACTAAATATTAGATAAATTTAAATTAATTAGATAAATAATCATACTGTTAATGTGCAATTGGTTATCGGATATCAACGAATGCAAAGGTCGCCTACTTTACCGGGCAACCATATTTTTCAAATTTTTTTTTTTTTAATAGGGGTAACCGATAAAGAAGGTCATTTAAATACAATGAATAGACTTCTAATTAGAAATGTTGAACATAAAAATCAACTATTACAAAAAGAAATGGACGATCGTGTGTACGTGCATACAAATCCTTTGCTGTGATCGCCGATCGGTTGGTTTGGTAAGTTTGGTTAAGTTTGTCTATGTATTTAATCCTCAAAATTGATAATAATCATAGATTTATATAATATGGTAATCGGAAAAAAAATCCCCCGGAAAAAAAAGCCCCGACCCTAGGAAAAAAAATCCCCAGCTACAATATTACTGACAATCACATGCAAATGGTTGAACAAATATATTTTGAACGTTAATTAGTATCTATAATTAATATTTAATGACGTATATTATATTCTATTATATTATATTGTTAAAAAAATTATAAAAATATTTATAATGATCGATACGTCAATTAATAATACAGTTAAAACATAGTATACAAAAATATTATACAAAATATAGGTACCTATATATTTTATGTAGGTATAATTCTGTAAAAATTCAATTCCCGAAATAAAATATTGCGTTTTCTGTGACATTTTGACGATAAGCGGTTTATGTACCTTTGATAATATATAATATAAGGTAAAGTTAGTTATTTAATTTGAATTACACATAATATATTATCGTAATTTAAAACAAAATATTATTTATAATATATAATTTTTTTAACAATATAATATAATATAATATATTATATTATAATATAATACAATATACGTATTTGTAATTAAATATTAATTATAGATACTAATTAACATTTAAAAAATATTTGTTCAGCCATTTGCAAGAGGTTGTGAGTAATATTGTAGTCTGGGGATTTTTTTTCCGGGGATTTTTTTCCGGGGATTTTTATTCCGGGATTCATATAATATACACACAGATTTCTATATAGTGTAGTATAGAAGTCTGTGAATATACAGTTGTATATATCTATGATAATAGTTCCCGCCGTTATTTAAATAACAATCATAAGATATATTAATAAAAAAATTTAATAATTGTACTTGGATATTGGTTATAACTTATAACTAATTTATAAGCAGTATTACATATTATGTAGGTATATTAGTAAATAACTCATATTATTGTCATTTTATCATCATTTGGCATAATTTATAACAATGAACACTACTATAATATTAGAGTTCGGATTTTGTAGGAATTTGCGTTTTTATTATATTGGTCTAAGATGAAGTTACGTCAGCTATACATTTTATTGTTATACTTATAATAAAATGCATGAAGTTTTGTTTTGCTTTTGAATTTGTTATTTTTTTTAAATACTTTTTTGAGTTTTTTATGATTTTTTTTACTTTTGAGTAAGTAAACTTGAAAGATTTTTAGTACCTAGTATAATTCGATTTAATAAATGCGGCACGAAACCAATGCAATCATTACAATCTATTAACTTAATAATATCTACACAAAACGGAACAATTAGGTACTTAAACAAGCAGACAAGCTCCAGGTAAAATAGGTGGTCGGCAAATAGGAAGCGTTGGTATTGAATAGAAATGTTGGGTTTAAAACGCTTGAAACTGTATCTGAGAAGATATAATAACTTAAATTCAAGGAATCCCGGAAGATATGGTGTATTTTAAATTCGAGCACATTGGTTTTTGTTTATTTCGAAAAAAAAATTATAATATAGGTAAGTATAGATATTTAATAACAAAAAAATACACTTTGTACCGACTACTATTAATATTAATTCGTTTATTTGCATATTTATATCTACGTATTTGGTATGTAATTTAATTGCGCCTGTACTCTATGTCTTTGGATAAATCCTTTTATTGAAATATGATGACAAATAAATGATTAAATAAAGAATATATTATTTTGTTTTTATACTTACAAACTGTGTAGGTTAAATTTAATTAGGTTTACATGCATAATATAATTTACACATTTTATAATATGTGAGCAATAATTCCTCATGCTGGTTGACATTTTTTATGTATAATATTATATTATATATTAGCTTAGTAGGGTAAACTATAAAGAATATAGGTGCCTATAAAGTTAGCACTGCAGCTGGACACTTCACTTAGTCAATATAGATGATATTTGTTCAAAATACCTACCCCTATTTTGGTTCTTTTTATAGACATTTGAAATATGCAATAATTTTTTCGAAACATAATTGATGTAATTTAGTACCTACTTGTTTCATTGTTTGGAAGTAAAAATCTTGAATATAGGCACGAGGTATTCCTCATAAATTATTCAATTTGAGTATGTATCAGATCAGGTACTCTATAATTACAATAATATTCACATTTTTTATACGACTGTAAATTTGTTCATAAATCTATGAAATATTATAGTACCCATCGCATTAATATAATGATATATTATTGTAATATTCTAGCCTTACACTCTTACGGTTAAAATATTAATATTGGCTAAATGCGGTTGTCGGGTTTTCATTGTTATTTTTATATCGTGAGTGCATGGCGACCGCCACCTACATCATTATTTATTTACTTCAGTTTGACATAATTGTTATTATTTTTACGCCGCGCATAAACCCGCTGCAGATATTGAGACCACGAACGAAACTGTGCCAACACGAACATAAGGATTATCTTCGCTAAACACAGTTATGCCGTATAGTGAATCCGTATCTATGAATCGGAATATTCCGAAAGCCAAAGGCTCTCCGAAATGGAGACGACCCAAGCCGTCCGCCGACAAGACTCGTTTTTTGGAAAAGCCGAATTTTACTTCGCGTACCGGAAAACTGGTCGATGTGTTGTACGAACGCCGTCACTGCAACTCCAGAGACGACATAACTCTGCTGTGCACTTACTTTGAAGCAAACAAAAGGTACTTACATATTATTCTAAACAAAAATGATATAGGGAACAATTTTTATTATTTTCAATACCTTGTGTGTCAGGGGAGACTCCAGAGATTTGTATTGGTTGGGCTTAGCCATAACTTTCAGAAAACTATAATATGTTTATTTTTTTTAAAAATGTAAAACTTTTTAGAAATACGATCTTGGGGGATTACGGTCCCTGGTACGTATAATTTTATCAGTTGAGTAAACAGATATTTTTTAATTGAGGAAGAGATTTTTTCAAGCGACTGATACAATTTCTTAAAATAAAATAATCAGGTAGAAATTATGTTAATAGACATTTATTTAAAGTAATGGTTTTTTTTTCGAAAGGTTTGGACTTTGGAGGTGAGCTCCTCCTTAACTCTTTCCTCGCAGAACTACTCTTCTGATTTACATCTATTTTGCAGTTTTAAATATTTTGTCTGAGTTATCTCCGTAGTTAGCTGTATACTATACTAGACACTAGTGGCTTTTAAAATAATAAAAAAATTTAAATATTTTGTTCTACATTTGTATAGGCAAAAAAGACTTCCAAAGGGGTCGAAATCATTTGTTAAAAATGAAACCTCTAACGATAACTTCTATTCAGATAAACGCAAACTACGTACTACTAATATTGAAAACGAACCAAGCTACATGTTGTAAGTAATATTAATAATTCATTTTGTTTAAATCATTTTCATTGAAATAATTGAATTATTAAATATGGCATTAAAAATATGATTTACACGATTTTACAATACAGCAATATTGTATGAAAACATGCTAAAATGACTATTCGATAATTTTTAAAAATAGTTTTTCTTTTCAAAACCATATACATCTTTTACCGTGTAATGTTTATCATAATTTATAATATATTATGTTGATTCTTGATGCATTGATCACGAGATCACGACTATGGACTATGATTATTATTCCCACATAAGTCTATACTTAGATCAAAATGTAAATGTAATATTATATTAATTGTGTATACCTAGTTATTGCTTAAGAAGAAATCTCATGGGATCATCCAAATGTTCCGCTTTATAGAATAAAACGGAAAAATGTTGGATTATTCAATTCGATTCTAAATTGTACCTATATAGTGTACTATTATTATTCCTATTACATAATTTTTATAGTTTATACCATTTATAATTTTAATTTTAAATGCAGGTATTTCTAATTGTTATAGACTTTTTCATTAATATCGATAAATTAATATTTTTCATTCAATTATAGAAGTATATTTTGGCATTTTGATGTTTGAAAGAAACGTAACTATGTACAAAATAAAACGTTTTATAAAATTGAATATACATTTTAGATTTTATACATATAGTACTATATAGTATTTATATTATGTATGTACCTACATAATGTTTGACTTATGTTACACCCGCGAGTATCGTGTTTCCAGTTTACCTATGCAGGGTTTTTACTTTTACGGGACGTAAAAATCATTCAGTTTTCAACTTTCATTAAGAATCCGTTTTTTTTGGGTTCGACGTGCATTATATGAAGAACTTAGAACACACACCTGGACCAAAGAAGAATTCCTGATTGGATAGTTCATAGTTATTCGTTCTATTCAGGGCCTGCCTTAGACAATTTTCACTGTACTATAATATAATATTATATATAGATACTTACCGTTATTTTCGAACTAAATGATTACATAGTTTATTATGTATAATTAGTTGAGTTGTACATTAATTATGAAGTTAACAGTTATATGAATGCACAAACCAATCAAATCAGATTTGTATTTAGTTATTTTAGTTTATATAAAATAAAAATAATATTATGGAAAAGCCGAAAATAAAATATGACATTTTTAAGAGTATTTATTAAATATTTCTTTATAAAACAAGTACCTGTATAGTATCTTATTGATGGATGTTCTAATTTTTTTTGTTACAGACAACAATACAATAAACCCTCAGCAAAAATTAATGCGGTTCTTAAAGATCTAGGTTTTGTGTGTAATAGTGATAAAATGTATACATTTTATCCATCACAGATATACTATTATAAAGACGCTCAAAAGCATATTGCCAGATATGGTCAGAAAAGTTATATTGCACCAAAACCAAAAGTAAATAAATGTTTTGTTTATTTGCTAAAATATATTAGTGACTAGAAAGAATATAATTTCAGATTATATCACGTGTACCAATATTTAATTGTGAATAAAATATTTAGATTAGTGATAGAAGAATTAAGACTGGTGGGTGTTTAGATAATTTTAGCAATTTTTTTTTATATAGAAAAAATAAAAGTTTGGGACAAATTTAATATTTTAATTTGTAAGTTATTTAGTTATGAGTTTGATATTTTATATTAATACTACATTTATAAGTGCATAGTTCATCTGATTTGAAGTAGAAATCAAAATATCAATAATTGCAAAATAACAAAAACAATAATATTTCACCAATACTTATTATTATCACTGTAATTTAAAATTTTTTATTTAAACATCAAAATATAAACATAAATTTTATCTAACAGTTTTTTAATATTATTTTTTGTATTTTAGAATTCAATAGGTAGTTCTGATGGATATAATCAAAACGGAAGACATCAAAAGCCAATTCACTCTAAAGCATACCCGAAAAGCAATTGTTACAACAAAAATTACAAAATTGAAGTATGAAACATATTAAATTAATATTACTTTTAAAATTGTTTTTTGTAGTTAGCTTTTGAGTATATAATTTCAAAATTTGAATTCCATTTGTTGTGCAAATAATTAATCATCAACTATTTAATAGCTGACATTTAATACACATAACGTTTTAAAATCGTTATTGTAAAATTCATAATATCTAAATATTAGAACTTTCAGGAAGATTATTTTTTTATAAATAATATTTGACTATTGAGTATACAAGATTAATATGTCTGAAATTATGCACTGTTGTTTATATTATATTGAATGAAATTATATAGCTACTTGAAAAATATTATAATATTACAATATATTATTAAAAATAATATGATGGAAAAAAAATTGTGTACTTATAGAGTTAAATAAATTTAGTTTTTTATACGTATATGTTAGAATCAACATCAAAATGCAATAATTAAAAAGACTCAATCAAATCAATTGAATTGCCAAAAAAGCACCAATAATTTTCATCAAGATAAACAGTTGCCTACTAAATACTGGTCAATGAGGCACTTGTTATTTACAAATTTTGATCGCGGTATTCTCTTGGACACAGGTAATTCAACTATTTTCTGTTTAAATCTTATGATTTTAAACAATGTTTTTTTATTTATAGAGAGCTTCTATTCGGTCTGTCCAGAGGTATTAAGTTATCATATAGCAAAGCGTTGTAAAAATAACATAGTGTTGGATCCTTTTTGTGGAGCTGGTGGCAATATTATACAGCTAGCAAAAACATGCAAACGAGGTATTATTATTACAATGTTACATAATATTTTATTAAAAATAAAAATATATAAAAATATAAGTTTTAATAAAACTATTTGTGTTTAGTTATAGCATGTGATATTGAACCAGATAAGATAAAATTAGCACGGCATAATGCTGAGATATATGGTGTTGCTCATAAAATTGAATTTATAGTTGGTGACATTTTTCAAATTTACCCGAAGTTAAAAGCGGATGTAGTATTTATGTCACCACCATGGGGAGGACCAGGATATTCAATTGATAAAAGCTACAGTTTAACGTCCATGTGTGACAGTTATTTCGGAGGAGGTTTTGGTATTTTTGATATTGTTAAAACTATTGCGCCTAATATTGCATTTCATATGCCGAAAACCACAAATATATTAGAAGTAAGGCAAATGATGTATGGTGTTTAATATAATCTAACCTTTATATTATAATTTTTCAGTGTATGTGGTTGGCAAATGGTTTTGGTAAAGTGGAAATTCAGCAGAATATTATTAATGGAAGACTGAATTCAATCACAGCATTCTATGGAGACTTTCACTGAAGTAACTGATGGTTGCCAGCGACTTTTGAAAATGTTCTTTGCAGTTTTTGATTAATTATGTTTGATGATTAGAATAAAGTTATTTCCAAATTATTTCATTATTTTAACGAGTATTTAATTGTAAAAAATGTATATAATTCTGCAACCATCATAAATATATATATATGCACTTTACATGTTTACCATGTTTACATTGTGCTTTACCCCCAAAGCTTTTCAACTTTGGATTCATACATTCATTTGCGTGGAAAGCTTCCCATTTTAGTACCTCTCGCCAAGCAAGCTCATTGTTGATGTTGTGTATTTTAATTATAACATCCATATCTTTTGGTGATAAATCATCGTCTTTCCAACGCCACCCTTTTCGTAACATTGCATTCCAAAACATCTAAACGGTTTTAAAACAGTTTTTAGTAAAAAAATATTGTATTATATAACTGTATTAATCGTTTTACTTGAGCTGACGGATAAACCCAAAAGTCACCCTCTCCTTCTGACTTAGGTATAGTAGATACTTCTCGTTCTGTTGGTAATAGAAATGGTTGATCCGGTGCTGGTTTTTGATTTGGAGGTTGCATCTATGAGTATAATACATGACATATAATAAAGATTCAATAATTGGTTTTAACTTTTAAGTTATTAGGTATGATGAATGGTGATAGTTTATGAATCCATCAGAATATTAATTTGATCACAGTCAACATTTTAGGTTAGATTAAGTACTGACAACCACTGTTGGACTGGCTCGAAAAGGCCCAGTCCAGAAATTGGAAAAAGGGCCCTCAACAGACAATAAAAAATGGCAAATATTTTGATTAGCTCAGAAAAAAAAGTCATTTCGCTCGCAATCCAATTTTCATACACATAGAAAAAAATGTTTTCAATACAATTACCATCTTGCCTAATATTTATCATACAACCATATAGGCACAAATAAGTAATAACTTAATACGTACCAAACTAAAATTCAATCATTCGATAAATTAACTGGTTATACTCTATTTTCAATATAGAATTTATATTGAGCATATTCTCAAATGCTAAGACATTTTCTGCAGATCCTAAGTAAATTAACGACAAGAGAAACATCTAACTGTTTTTATTATCAGACATGGGAAATCCTTCTTACCCAAACATCCAACCCCCAAATTACGCCACTGTGGCGTAGCCTCTATGCTGGCTACACCACCTGTGACATCAAAACATAATTAAGAAAAACACTGATTCAAATTGTGTCAAATTGTGCACGAGAACAATACTTATCCAAAATATACTTAATAATTCAGTTACAATTAGTGATAATGCGAATACCAAGTCATATACACACGCCTGTATTACGCCTTTATTATATTATATAAATATAATATAAGATTATATTTTAATAGTCACAACAATTTTATACTATTTATAATCAATGACACATATAAGTATATAACATTTGTATATAGACTTTTAAGCTAGTAGAATAATAATGTCATTATTTTAATAATTATTGAGAACTTCTCAAGATGGTAAACAACAAAACGTTTCCTGATTTGAAAAAAAAAATGTTTATTTTATATTTCTGGTTACTCTAAACGAATAATAATAATATTAATAGGTACAAAATCAGGGGCCCCCAATTACCAATTAAGCCCGGGGCGGCGGGGCACCGTCTGCAATTGCGGACTAGCAGTCCGGGCCAGTCCAACTCTGCTGACAACTGACAAGTTTCCACAACTGAGAGTGCAATATTGATGTAACAGTGTTTAATAGCTAACAAAAAGAATCAATAGCGATTAAAAATAATTTCCTATATAATATCTAAGCTGAAAAATATGTTTATAAACAAATACCTAGTAGATGAACGACAAATTTAACTAAAAACAGATATATTAATATGTCTATGGTTAAAACGAAATGATAAAAAAAACATATTCTCTTACCGATGACTTCTCGACCGAGAGTACTGTAACCGGTTGTCAATTTTAGAACTTATAAGCATAGTAAACCACAGTAAAGAGTAAAATTACAAAAAATTTACTAAATATTAGATACATTTAAATTAATTAGATAAATAATCATACTGTTAATGTGCAATTGGTTATCGGATATCAACGAATGCAAAGGTCGCCTACTTTACCGGGCAACCATATTCTTCAATTTTTTTTTTTGAATAGGGGTAACCGATAAAGAAGGTCATTTAAAAACAATGAATAGACTTCTAATTAGAAATGTTGAACATAAAAATCAACTATTACAAAAAGAAATTGACGATCGTGTGTACGTGCATACAAATCCTTTGCTGTGGTCGGTTGGTTAGGTTAAGTTACCACACGATTAACCACGATTCCGTGTTGTTGGAAGTAGCTGAACATTTTTCGTGTTCACATCAAACGTTTATAGTGGAAATCAGCATTTAGTCTATGCGGGTATACAATATACCATTGTACTTAATTATATTATATTATAACAACATTAAAAATTAAAGGTGAATTTATGAAACAGTACTTTGTTACGTAAACTTATTTGTAATGTAGTCGCATTAAAAAAATAATAAAGTCAGTAAATTTGACTTAAGTTCGCCCAAACTATTGAAAAATATGCATAGGGTATTAGGGTAATTATTGATTTAAAAAATAGATTCGCCCCCCCCCCCTACAAAACTTTCTAGGCCCTGTCTGAAAACGCCCCTGGCAGAAACCCTACTACGCGTGCCCGTGCCTCATTAGGAATTCTGCCAAATAGGCGTGCGTACTCCCAAAAAATAAAATTAGTAGATCTGTAGATGTATGCTTCTATCTTGCGTATAACTTCATTGTTTTTAAATCATTTTTTTTATAGATTGTAAATCAGAAAAACATTTTTTTATTATACTAACAACAATGTTACAAAATAGTAGTATTTATGATAAAAAACAGTAGGTAGGTAGTAATGTAGTATCTATATGATAGGTACAAAAACATATTGTAACAGTAACTATATTCTACAATGCAGGCGCGATCGGGTTGACAATACAATTTATACTTGTTTAATGTAATGACTATAATGAGTGTGTGCGCCGTTTCGTCTTCCGAAATTTGGTAGAGCCGGAGAGCCTCCACAAACGGATAGGCAAAAATAAGCAAAATCACAACGGTAAACATACCTACGGCTATAAACCGGAAGTGATGGTCATTTTTTCAAAAGCAATTTTCACCAGCTGGCCACGGTCTATTACCTTTACCTAACCTTATTGTCGAATAACATGCGAACGACCAGCGTCGGATTGGGAAGAAATTACTTACCGGACTGTCCGCCTAGACCGGTCCAAATCTCTGATTCAAAATTTCTTCGAGCCGGCCCAAATCTTTCAAATTTTTAACGGCCAACCGGGTTTTGCCGGTAATCCGGGCCTGCGAACGACACTGCACGATATCCATGAATCACTAAAAACTAACTTTAAATCTGTAATTTCTTCGAATACGCATCTGTAGGCCCCTGTAACGTCGACCGTCGCCGCCGCCACAGTAGCAAAACAACTTTCTGCTGGCTGCACTAAGGATTTTCCAGCCTCCTACCAACTGCTGACACGTACGTTCTGCGTTTTTTAAGCATTGCAGGTTCAGCGACCATCACATCGCAAGCTGTACTCGAAAACAACATCACGTCCAATAAGAGTGAAATGATGCAGCTGGTTTTCGCTGATCTGAATTGCCAAATTGACAGAGATTGGGTGGCGATCAACGCCTAATCTTAAGTTTCGGCAGGTCACTAGCGATATACAGAGACCGGAATCATCGGAAAATCGTGATTCCAAGTGTTTTCTGGACGGCAGGCTGTGTGTATGTTCTCCGAATATCCCCGAACGTCCAAATTTAACTGATGATGCTCCAGAGTTGCCCGTATTGAATAGGACGCTAAACACGGATGGAGGGCCTGAAACCGTGATCAAACACAGACGATCGTACGTTTTAGTGCTGGACGAAGAAATTTGTTTTGCTGTTTTGGTTCTATTGACATGATAGACCAGTAAATGTATATTATAGAGTTTAAAAAGTTTTTAAACCTCCCACTGTTATCTCACTCCCGTGTTCGCTGGTACTATTGTGTCCGGTCAGGATTCTGAAACCCTTTACCGTGTCCTCCGTTGTCGTTTGTACCAAGTTAGTGTAGGTTTGCCTCACGTATTTCATGCACTGTACGCATGTCTACCGTCGGCTTTTCGCCACCTGTTTTATGCCGTTTCGCGGTCGTATGTCTTAGACTCTAAGACTCTAACTTAGATTTTGAGCAGAAATAATGTCATAACTCATAATGTAATATGTATAGTTATAATCTGTTATGCATATCTATGTTGTGCACTTGTAAGACGGATACAACACATGCGGCTATCACGTCCTCTTAATAACGTAATAATGTATTAATGTAATAATGTACCCGACCGCGTAGAAGTATCAACATGTTGAGATAGACGCCGTCCTTTTCGTAGATCCACATTCAATACATTACCTAATGGTTTTTTTTCAACCATTGTAAAAATTTCACGAGGAACTATTATTTACGAGGTGTTGAATTCTTAAGTTTTTGATCAAAGAACAAAAATTGTTATCAACAGGGTACATCGAAAAAAACCAAAACCTCTGCGATATCACGCCAAGAGTCATGATAAAAAACATTTTAAGACCCCTTATAATATTATAATAGGTAATATTATGTATTATCAATAAAAATAAAATATCTTTATAACTGGTTTCATTACACGAGTATAGCCCAAAATGTCTTATATTATTTGAAAATTGGATATTAACTAGGTATTTATTTTAACGTAAGACACTTATGCAGGGTTGCATAAACAATTTGTTAAATTGAATGGTTCACTTCCAATATAAATGGTTTGCTAGCTTTCCTTGATTAGTGCATATTCTGATATACCTATAGACAATGAAACGTTTTGTACATTTTGTGAAGCTTTTTCAACAAATTATGCTGGAATGAATACCTAACCAAATATCAATAAATAAGAACTACTTAATAACACCTGAAGAAAGAATTGATGAACAGCAAAAAAAAAGACGTTTAATATTCCTACACCGTACCTGCAATTTAATTTAAGTGTTAAAACATAAAATACGACGTAGCCAGTGCACTTAGCCCCGGTGAAAAAAATTGCTCCCCCCTAAGGGGCCTACCCACAGAAAATATGGGAGATAGATCCTCATTAACCTTTTAGATTTTGAGCACAGAAAAGAATATTTGTTTTACAATGTGTGCTTTTTTAAAAAATATTGTTTAGTATAATTGCTTGATCCTCTCTCCGCAAAGATATATTTGAAATTTGAATTTATGTTACTTAAACCTTGCTTATAATTCATCATATAAGTTGTTTTTTTACATATTTAAGTATGTACTTCATGAATAAATAAAATAAAATTGTATAAAACTAGGTATGCAAATTAATATTAATAAAAAACATTTCAAACAGCATAATACTATATATATATATATATTATATAAATATATAATACTATTATACTAAATTATATTATAATATACGGTTAATAAACTAGGTAATTGAAATTATACAATTTTAATAATTCACAAGTAAACAAATTTCTGA